TTATATACGGAGAAAAATGATGTGCATGTGAAAAATGTTTGAAAATCAATAAATTATATCTTTCAAGCTTCATATATTAATAAACGATTAATTTAACATTTTCACGAGTAACATAGTTGGATTTATTGGAAAATGTAGTATTTCTCATGAATGATTTTATAAATCCTAAATCAATAAGGGTATAAATAATACATGTAATACATAAATAAAAAATACATAAAATAAAGCATTTTTTTAAAGCTTATGTAAATTAATATATTTTATAATTATTAAGTTAGGTACTTTATGTACTTTAGAATGAAACTGAGAAGTTTTGTTAGGCAAAACAAACCATAATATTGAGCTGTTCGGAAAAGGATGCAGAATTTTTAGTTTTTATCAAAATACTCCTCTATATTACAAACATTTTGCGTTTAGTGCGTTATTCAATCTTATGGATGTCAACACGTATCAATCCTCTTCCAAACGATAATGTTTGTTGGCCTCTGTAGCATTTCGCTGATTAGAAATAATTCAGTCTTTACTAAGATGTCAAAGCGTGATTGTCGTAAATTTTTGTTTTACGATTTTAAATTCGGTCGGAATGGGACCCAGACGGCCAAAAATATCAATCAATTATGGAGCGAGAGCAGCATTAATGAATGCACAGTTCAAATTTGGCTCAAAAATTTTAGGAAGGCAGACTTCAGCCATGAAGACAAAGAAGGTTGGAGGAGGACTTTGTCTTTTTATAACGATGTTCTACGGGCTTTGGTGGAAGAACAACTGTTCGCGGACTTTCAGAGAAACGTAACCTTTGAAAATCGACCGTCAATGACCACACACATTAAACGACTGCCAAAAAAAAAAGAAAAAAAAAAAAAGCGTTATCAAGTTTGAGCTACACTTCTTTGCCTTATCAAAAACAATTTCTGTCCAGAATTGTTACTTGTGATGAATAGTAAATGCTTCACGATAACAGTAGATGTTCTGGACAGTGCTCGACAAAGGAGAAGAAGCGGAACATATTCGAAAAGCCCTAACTCATCAAAACAAGGCGATGGTTATTGTTTGGTAGGTTTAATTTGTTTTGATACACTACAGCTTCCTAAATCATGGAGAAACCACAAATGCTGAATCGTATTGTAACCAAATTAATGCAATACATCAGAAATTGGCAATAATGAAGTCATCTTAGGTCAGTGGAAAGTGGCCGGTTTTGTTGTTTGACAACGCCCGGCCACATGTCTGTGACGTCACAAAACCGGAGCGAAACTCTTCCACATCTGCCCTACTCTTCGGACCTCTTGCCTATGGATTATCTTTTTTTTTACACCTGGACCACTACTTACATGGCAAACAATTTAATGAACAAAGAGAATTAGAAAATGGGGTTTTGGAGTTTATCAATTCTAACGATGGGAAATTCACGTCCGAGGGTATGGAAAAGCTGCCAACACGTTGGCCGAAATGTGTTGATAGTAGTGGAGATCATTTTAATTAAATAAAAAAGTTGTAAATCTTTCTTTTTTCTTTTTAAATAAAAATTCTGCTTTATTTTCCGGACAACCCAATATATTATATTTAAAATAATAATAAAATATTATTACAATAAAATGATATTTAAGGGTATTTAGTAATAAGTAACAATAAAGTCCAACTAAACATATTCTTTAGGTAGATTATTCGTTATTTTTCTGCTTGTAATATTATTAGATATTAACAAAAATAAGAAACGAATAATAGTGGATGAAAGAGCAAAGTATGAACGTAACGATTGTGAAAAAAAAAAGGGGATATGAAAAGGGAAATATCTTCTATCATAAATTAATAAGTAAAAAAGGCGAACTGGTTAAGCAGAATTTTCTCTAAAATAAATTCCTCGTTGTTGTGAAATGGTAAATATCTGATAAAGCAATAAAGCATAAGCGCTAAATCTAAAGGTATTCCAATATCTATCTTACTTCCTTTATCCATTTCATTCATTATTAAAAAAGGAACGGTGTGTATTCCAAAACTTGTAACTATAAAAAGTTTAGTATAAATGCCAAACTAATGTTGATATGAATTAATTATTAAGTATTAAATAATTTAACAATTAATATATATATATATATATATATATATATATATATATATATATATATACGAGATGTAAACACCTTAAAGATATGATGACAGTATTAATAAACAGTATTTTCCCAACTTATAAACCTGGAGGTCGTTTGAGATTAGGGATAATGGAGTGAAAATAAATGAGACACATAAACTATTGCCTTGTTTCCCTGACGTCTCCTGAAACAAATTTTGTGCTCCGTTCCCCCTAAAATACCAATAAGCAGCTGAGGTAATAAATGTTGAATAAATTATATCACATAAATTATTGTGCTAAACCTGAAATATAATATTTATAGAAATTTGATTATTTTAAAAATATTATCATACATAATAGAATTTTAATGAATTAATTACTTCCATATTGTTTTTGTCTAAAAAATTTATATAGCTGATAATTCAAGGAAATAATTTATGATTAGACACAAGGCTAATCACAAAAGAGGTATATCAAATTAATTAATTTATTTTTTTTTCTATGTCTTGTACCAAATCACAATAAAATCATAAATTAAAAAATAAATACTTTTATCAGACCTAAAAAATAATTCTTGCGAACATAGAATGAATTTATAATTAGTGGTAATCATAGAACCGAGACTAAAACAACTAGAAACAAGAGAAAGGAAGCGACGATTTTTTTAAATTACTTTTTTTTATTGAGAAGGCATAGTTTTTTCTCCAACACCACTTGAAGGCTCCTTCTAAAAAAGAATACTTTTATGAAACTTAATGAAAAAGGACTCCTTTCAGTCAGTTTTATTGTAATGCCGCTTCTTCTTCTTCTCATAGATATTGGCCGAAAAACGCGTTAAAAAGTATCGAATAAGTAAATGGGGTAATGGAGCTGTTTAAATTTTTCTTACATTGCGTAGAACGATATTGTTTCATAGAATCGTCTCCACAATAAAATTGGCTGAAAGGCGCCCTTTTTTTCTTGAGTTTCATTCCTTCTTGAGGTAAGATTCAAATGGAGTTGGGGAACGAATGTGGGTCACCACTACTGAAAAAAATAGTTGTATCATTTTAACCTACGGAGGTTCAGTACTTTTAAAGAAAGTACTGAAGTTCAAGGCCAACCTTTGTGCCGGAAGGTGATTGGATGGGATCACGATCAATCGTCAGATTTCTCCCCATAAATTTATTTTTTTATCTAGTAGTATGATATTACGCCACTTGGACCATAATTATAGGGAGGTAATACCACATTCATACCACATATGCAGATAAGATAAAATATACTTAAGAAAAATATCAATAAAATAATATTCAAAAAGTATATAAAATAAATAAATTAAAGATAAGTAAATTAAAAATAACACATTCAAACATATATACACTATCCCCCTTAATTAATTATTTAATAAAGAGTACGGAATATTTACCTCCAGGAATGTCTCCTGACCACGGCTGGTGAAATGCTATAAATAATTACCTGCCATCAGCCAGATTCGAACTCGGAACCTTGGAGCTTATGAAGTCAGTGAATTAACCACTGAGCTAGCCCGCTCCTTCATACCACTCCTAAAGTATGTTGAAATATTTTAAAAAAAGTGATGTTTACTCAACTATCATTGTCATAGCTAACGAGGGATGTAATAAGTTTTAATCATTGGTATTCTTTTCATTTAAACTTCGGCATGACTCTTGTCCTCAAGTATTTTTTAACGACATCGCGATACCTAATTCGACTACAGTGCGGTATTTGGAAATCAATTTGGACCAACGACTGACATGGGCATACTACAGAAAAGACCAAAAAAGAAAAGAACTTAATCAGCGATATGGACTTATTTCTAGGCTACTTGAAAGACGTTTTAAATTATCAGTGACTAATAAATTAATTATTTACAAAGTACTCATCACTTTAGACATATGGAATCGAGTTATGGGAAACAGCAAATATATCAAATATAAAAATTATACAATCGTTCCAGTCAAAAGTTCTCCGGAAAATTTGAGAAGTTCCCTTTTAGGTTTCTAATCTTACGTTGCACTGTCCTTGACATTCCTGTTATCACAGCAAATGCTATAACCGTTTTATTATTTTTTATGAAACTCACTTTAAATTCAAAGGCAATTACTATCTACTGCTATAAATCCGGATAATCAGCGCAGAATACCGCCGAGGCGGTGGCTAAGAGACCTACTCCTTTGAGCTGCTTGGTATTTTATTATTTTGATATAATAGTTTTTTGTTATCGCGCTATTTACTTTTTTTTCAGTTTATTTTTTGCAACTTACTAGTATTTTATTTTTTTACTATTTTCCTCTTTTGAAACATTCAGAACTAAAACTTAGACAGAAATTGAAAACATACAATTACTTACTAAAAGCTATTTGAATTATATTTGGAACAGCTAAAAAGACCCACATAAACAAACTTCAAATCTTTCAAGACAATCACAAAAGCACCTTTGTACGTTAGCAACATAGCCTTATATACTGACCTCCATGTGCCGACTGATAACGAACACATACGAACTCATTACAAACGATTCCACGACATCTTACAAGAACTTCCTAACACTCTCATAAATGACATGGCCACTACACAAATGTCAGGTAAGCTCTGTAGGAAGCTGAAGAGGAGTTGGATGAGGGACCTCCTCGCCTAATTTAGATATCACGCAAGGAGGAGGTGCCGCTAGGTACTACCCCTCCCCTTCATGCTTTAGATGTCATTATGTTGTGCAACGATCATCTCATTCAGTGGTTGTCATTAGGATTATGACAGATGTTTTTTATTTTCCCCATTAAATTTGCCATTGCGTTGTAACGCATTAAGCAAATGTGTTCGAGTTTATTCTATCTTCTTGATATTTTCTTAACTCTCCAGCAGAAGATCTCAAGGCCAATCTCAAGGAAGAGTCTCACCAGGTAACAGGGAGGAAGATAGAGATAGAATGAGTGGATTTGGATGATTGAGAGTAGAAGAATGAAATGTTGTGTACTTGTTGAGCATGTAGGATTTTACTTTTGGTATGTTCATATCCGTGTGTATAGTGTGATTTGAAATAAACCAAGGAGCATTGATGATTTTACGAAGTATTTACGACAGATGTGATTTATTTGCTACAGATGTGAATTATGACAGATGTGAATAAAAAAAAAAAATTCTATCATTAATATTTTTTATTGATTTTTTTTTGTTCGTTTAGTTTTGTTGATATCATATATATTCCTTAATATCATATTTGCTAATTAGCATTGTAGAATGAAAATTTATCATGACAGAAATATGTATCTTATAAATAAAATAGGTATTATTTTCATATAAATGAAAGTAAAAATGATCACAAAAATTGGTTAAATTTAACTAATTAATATTCTGGCGTGATTTAATTATATTAGATATAATTCTTTTTCAATGATACCGAAAATAAGTAGAGGATTTTACATTGTATACTAAAAATAATCATTTTATTGTGAATCAAAACTAACTTAGTCTTATCTCTTACAATTTAATAATCCTCCCCTTGGGTTTTATTAGCGAAGGGAAATTCCGGAGGGAGGAAAAAATTGGAGGGGCCATGCGACCAATTTAAATAGGAATGCTTTTCTTTAGATTCCCCACTCTACTCAATATTATAAATATAATTATATATTAGGAACTAAAAAAAAAAAACCCTGCAAATTATTTCACAATGATTTATTATTTCCAAACAAGTAAAAAAGTAACATTACCTTCCTAGTGACAAAAAAAAAATGAAATAAAAGGTGACTCCAATTATTAGACTAACTGTTTTTTTTTTAATCATTAGTAATATGCTAAAAAGTTAGCATTACTTCAGTAACACATTTAAAAATCAAAAAGTATATAATCTTTGCATTATAACATATGAAAACATTTGGATACCATATTTTTGCTCCTAACTGACTTTTAACTTTTTTTTTTTTTTTTTAAGGAAATTCCGTAAACTTTTAAATAGCCATGAGTATACCTTTTGAGTTCATTTGAATCTCATTTTACCACCCCTCGTAACTTTTTTACAGCTTCTTTTTGTTGAAGTATGTTATATAGATAAATTTAAAGGGCATCGAGAAGAAGACTTTATCGAAGTTTCATTGAAATCGGTACATTCGTTTGGGCGCTAGTCTATAACAATGCAGGTTTTTTGGATGCCATCTTGAAAAGGCGGATAGAAATGTCGATTAAGGAAGATCATCCTTGGGCGACCTCATATTTTAAATCCAATTTTTAAAAAAAAATCGGTTCAGTAATTTAGGAGCGCATTCGTGAAAAGGACGGCGGACGGACAAACAAATTTTGTATCCATTTTTCGAATTCTACTTATCCTGAAACATGAAATCTCTAAGCTTTTGAGGGGGAGTTAAGTTTTTGAATTTTTTGTTCGATCACAATGGTTCATTATTGAAAATAGTAAACGAAAAAAATGTAAAAAATATATTTATTAATTGTAAACTAATATATAAACAGTAATTGTGTTGTAGTATATTTAAATGAAATGATCTGGTGGGACAATTTTAATCTCTAAAGAAAAGTTTATATGCGTAATAAATATATATTATAAGAAGATTTTGTTAAAGAAATTTAACTATTTCTTGTTAAAAAGTTAAAATATACGTTTTTCATAATTTCGTCCTACTGTGTTTGTTTAACATATGCATTGCTTACTTTCTATTGCTTAAAGTGAACCCTAATTATTATTAAAATTTTATCGAAAAATGTAAAAATCTATATTTCCATTTTCAATGTGTTGTATCAAAACCAATATTAAAAAAAAATAATTTAAGAAATTTTTTATTTGCAGAATATATTTTCGCAAATCGCTGATTATTTCAATGTTCATTAAAATATAGTACTCATTATTACAAAATAAAATACCTAATCTTATTTGGGTGATCCTCAAACAACATTCATCTATCAACTTCCACTTGATTAATAAGGTTACCAAGGATGGCTATTATACGGTCTCTAGAAATAGTTCTATTTTGACATGACAGGTTTAATTATATTTTAATGTTTTACTAATTTTATATTATCATTAGTACTTCAATTCTCATTTCCATAGTTGCCCCTAAACACCATTTTTAACATTCAAGCATATATTAATATTAGTTTCACGTATATATTATCATTAATTTCATAAAATTGTATCCATTACTCTCGTTAATGCATGAAAAATGTTTTCCTTAATATTCCATTATTATGGCTACTCCAACTGGGCTTAAAGCTTGCGTGTAACATATAATTTCAATTTTATTCATACTTATTATAATGTTATGCCCATTAAGATATAAAAGTACTATTATTAATTAAAAATTTCACTTAAAAAAATTGAGCAATTTTTTTTCGACGCCCAACTAACTTTTTTTGTTTTTGTTTTTTCATTGACATACTTTCATCAAGTAACAATACAATCACATTCTCTATCAGGAGACCTGACCTCGATTTAATTAATCTCATTGTTGTGGATTAAAAAAATTGCAAATTAAATTTGTTAGACGTTTTCTTAGAGCTACCCTTGGACATTTAAATTTTTTTTATTTTTGTAGTTGGGTTTTTCTGTTGACTATTGGGAACAGAAATTTTCCTGTTATTTGAGATTTACCAGTTTATGTGTTTTGTAGGATATAAGTTTTATTTATGTACTGAGCTTTGGGGCTCTACTAAACCATCAAATTCCTCTCGCATCCAATCCCTACAATCCAAAATCCTTCGTAAAATCCTCAATGCTCCCTACTTTGTCACAAATAAAATCATCCATAACGACCTTAATGTACCATATGTTTCCGATTTAGCTAAATCCAGATAAGTATGCTTCCATAATAAACTTACTTCGTTCCAATCACCATCCGAATCCTCTTGTTTCCAAACTTGCTTCCTCTTCTATTCCTGATAACCTTTCGAGGCGTCTGAAAAGAAGTTTGCAATAATAAATATTTTTGTTGTTACAATTTATATTTACTTGAGGTAGACAAGATGATACAAGTTTTAACTTGTAGGATGTCACCATACATGTATATATTATTGTCATTACAATTTATATTTATTTGAGGTAGACAAGATGGGACCAGTTGAGACAGGTCCGGGATCTGTCGAACTTAAAAATGAAAAAATACAAATTAGGATTAAGGGCATTTATACCCTACTAATATAATCGGCAAAGAAAACAAAAATTAATTTAGATCTTTATTTTTGTTTGGAACCAACACGTTTACAAATTTCAGTAAGCTGTATCTTTGATAAATATTGTCCGATTTCCATGTATTTTTTTTTTTCGTAGGGAATTAAGTAATCTTCTATATAATCATGGGCAAAACAAGGAAAAAGTGTGTAATTTTTTAGTTATTCGCAAATTAAGTTACTTTTCTTTATTGTTTGCCAGAATTTTCGGGGTGTTAGGACAATTTTGCCCGCCTGAAGGAGAAGGAAGCCTTCGAAATTGGTGGCTTAATCTTGAGATTTGGTGAAAAGTTAACGATGATATGGCTTGCCGATCAAAAACACCATCGATAAATATTATAAACTCCTCCTCTCTCGATCATAAAGATCTCAAGTCGACAAAATGAGAGATGTATTCAATGACAGTACTACAATTAATGTAAGGTTGTGTGGATGCGAACCCTATGCCTTGCGTTATCTCGAAAATGGTACGTTTTTGGGCTTAAAAACGCAGGATCCGATAGTTTCGGAGGAACTATCCGGGTCTTGCTGTACGCATCAAAATCTTCAAGATCCAATCTGTCCCATATCGATCTACAGACCTACCACCGTTCCAGTTTTGAAGCATAGCAAAATGTTTATATCGACTTTATTTATTTTAGAAAGAAAAACAAAAGTGGATAATACGATTCGCTAACCCCCCGGGAAAATTTGAATGCAACGGTACCCCATTCATTGTATTTGAGCATCACAGGAGCTTATATTTGGTACAAAACTGATTTCGAGCCTTACTGTAATAATATATGTGTGGATTATTAAATATTTCATTATTCGAAACGCCATCCCTCCCTGCATCCGTCGATCTAATACCCTCCCCACCTTTAAATGCCATCTATTCAATCACTTCTTTCCCGTCCAGTTCCAATAACATTTTAAATAGATATTTATATAAATACGTATTATTAGTGTATCAGACTGATATGTAAATACATTATTAGTTTGTTTATTTCATTTATTTCTTTGTTAATCGATTAAAGTTAATGAGTAACTTATACTTTTTGTTTCTCTATTATGTGTATTTGTTTACTTTGTAATTATACTTATATATCTCTGGGGCTCAAAAGCCCTCATTTCTGTCCTTATTTATTATCATAAAGGGATTTGTTCCTGAATATATATAATATTATTATTATTAAAATGGTTAAAAAAACAATTGTCGGTTAATATAACGGTTATTATATTTTTATATTATTGCGAATATCATGTTTTGAAACTTTTATTTTATATAAATAAGAATATTTCGGTTTTATTCATATATCATACCAGTATTTATATTATAAAATTGGGAGACAATAGAAAATGACATAGAGACATAATATTTTCCTAATTTAATCCCGGGAGTGGAGAGATTCTATTGGCTAAATTTCAGGAGATCATAACTTGAACATAAATATTATGACGGGAACAAAAAGATTAATAAATAACTTTATTAAAGCTAAACGGCCATGAACAAGGGAAGCGAGCCCAAAGGAAATAAGAGATAAATTAGAAATTCGGAAGGCGGGCCGGGCAGAGTCAGCTGTTGGGGACAGACCACCCCACCTCCCTCTTCGCTTTCTTAAATAAACCCGCTCTCCTCCGCTTCTGTCAGTTATTTCTTTATTCGGTACAAAAAAAAAAAAAGAAAAAAAAAAAAAGAAAAAAATATGATTCTGATCACGTTAAATATCTACACTATATATAATATGGTAGTGTAAAATCCTTTTCTGGCTCTAAGGAGCAATGGATTTAGTTGAAAGAGGTATCAAACTATAGGAAATTCTACGAAGAAGAGACAAATTCCTATTTAGATTCTTTACTTCCTTCAGCAACTTAAAATAAAGCCATTGGAAAATTATGAGGTTTCAAAACTCCGATGGTTTCAAACT